CAGGCCAACTCCAAAGCTAGAGCCTCAGCCACAGTGGCCTCCTGCTCTGAGAGTATGATTCCAGCTCTTTCAAAATAAGACTCCAGACATCCCTTTCCCAATTTCAGCCGTCACTGGTCTGCAAACATTTTACAAATGTGTTCAGGTGAGCTGGGCATGGTGATACATGCCTGCAATCCCAGCGCTAGGGGGCTGAGGCTGGAGGAGAGGGTCCGCCTGGACTGCATAGTGAAAGCCTGTCTCTAAAAACAAACCAAAAATATTACTTTCAGTTGAGTAACTAAGAGTTTAAAATTAGACCTTGTTCACATTTTACAAATAAAATGTTGTCTGTATGTACCATGTATAATACTTGACATATCATATATAATAGATATGATTATAAATATGTATGCATATCCAAAAATGATATTTCTTTTCTAACCTTAAGAGTATAAGCTCAGCATGCCAACCAGCCTGTCACCCAGTCATATGCCACTGTCCACCAGAGGCAGGGTGAGAACCAGAGCTTCTCCCTGCCAGCCCTGTAAGCATGCCAAGCACAGGGGAGCTGGGTGCATCCCGGCTGAGCCCTGGCAGAGACAGACTTGGACACCCTGTTTCCAGGCGCAGCCTGCTCAGGGGACGCCCTTACCGGGTAATGATAGATCACCATGCGATTCAGCAGAGTGGACAGGGCATAAAAAGCGCCTGTATTCAGACCTGAATGAGAAAGGGAGAAACACTGCATTAGAGTCAGCCTCTCCTGTGGTGGGCACCATGGCCCCTCCAGCTGTTCGGGAGGTAAGAAACCCCTGCCTCTTCCCCCGCAAGCAGTGTCCTCAGAAAAAGAGCTCAGAGAGCTGTGAGGTCATGTTGCAGTTCTCAAACATTTTCTACACAACCCAAAGTGGCCTCAGAACCTGTTCTGAGCTCCACTGCCTTCCAATCTCTTCAGCTTGCTCTGGAAACTCAGGCTCCATGCAGCACCCACCACTCTCTACTTGGGGTCGCCCATATTCCTTTTTTTTTTTTGATATTATTATTATTGTTGTTGTTATTTTGGTACCAGAATCAAACTTTCCAGGCAAGCACTTGTGCCACCAAGCTATAGCCCCAGCCCCTCCTTTCTTAAACCTGGATCGGATCTGTGGGGTCAGCTGACCGGGGACACCTCCCACCTCCTCCCGATGACCCTGTCCCCTCTCTACACCATTCCACACCCAAAACACCAATGCCACTGCTTTCGCAAGTCATTTTTTGCTTCTTCTGCACTCCTCCAATTGCTTCTCAGAAGCAAAATCTACGTCTCCCAATCCCAGATTTTCCAAGAACTACTATGTGAAACTATAAGACACCTTAAAGAGCATTTAATTGGTGTCTTTCCTCATCAACTCATTCAACAAGCAACTGGAGCAGTAAGATCTGCATCTCCTTGGAGAACAAGGTCATCTGTAGAAACCACACAGCAACTGCAGCGACAGTGAGACGAGAACTAGCCCAAAGGAGGAAGAGTCAGCTGCCTTCTTATAATGGTGATAATGACAAAACGCTGACAGTTTTGATGGGAGCAGCACATACTTTGGTCTTTTGTACTAGATATTGTGCTAAGCACACTACAATCTTTTTTTTTTTTTTTTTGGCTGGGTAGGCTCGCCTTAAGGGCAAGTCTGGTGCAGCATGTGGTACTGGGGATCAAAACTTGGTCCCCTACACATGAGTTTGCCCAAGCAGGCACTTTATTTTTTATTTATTTATTGTTTTGGAATGATCATATTTCCATTATAGAATTTGGATGTCCTATAACAATACCAGGAAAATGCAGACATTGTCATACGTAGAAAACCAACTAATGTCAGCACTTATGTCATTTTGGTTATAGTAACAATATCAACAATAATAATAGCATTGGAGACAACGTAGATATTGATGTTATAACCTGACCAAAGCGCCGCCATCCTGTTCTGTATGCTTTCTGCAAGCTGTTGCTGTAAGCCCTCGCCCCACCCTCGAATTCCAAGAACCCCTCCAGACCCCTAACCGTATCTAGTCTCAGCAGCTGCCCCGTCTCCTTGAACTCCCTAAGTTGTACCCCGCCTGCTTTGTGGTTTTAAGCTTTATAAACCCCACGTTCCCCCGCTTTGGCACGCACTTAGGTACTTTGTGCTGGGCGTTGCCGCAGGGTACCTGCTAAAATAAAGCGCTTCTTTAACTTTTGGACTTGCCTCGTTGTCATTTGATTTTTGAATTACAACAATTGACACATATAAAAACCTAATATGGTACCAATTTAGCCCTGGAAAGGAGGTCTGTAATTATAGTATACACAATAAGACAAGCCAAATTGTGAGAAACCTCGCCAGGAGTGAATGAATAAACAAGTGTGGGACAAAAGCACAGAGAAATGAATGGTTAAACTACAGAGTAAAAACACAAAAGCTGCATGAGAACTAAATGGTTAAACAACAAGAAGTTTAGATAAGTGTTTTTTTTTTTTTTTTTTTTTTTTTTTTCAGAACTGGGGGTTGAACTCAGGCCCTTGAGCTTTCCAGGCAAGCACTTATTCTACTGAGCTATCTCCCCGGCCCCAAGTAAAGTGTATTGTATCTGGATATTGTCCTTCTTCTTTCCCAAGAAAAACTGCTTGGCCTTGATACACCTCTTGCCCTATAGTGTTTTTTCTCCGGCTGTTTTCTCTTCTACTGATATTCTAAAGAAAAACCTGGTAGTTCTCAGCTCGGTAGTTTTTTTCTTGTCCCAGAGTCCCCCTAATTGTTGGGTGCTCTCGATGGAGAAGTAGCCTCTCTGGGCCTCTGGGGAGACTGAATCAAGTCTTGTCTCTGGGTAATCTTTCCATCTTTCACACTGCCTATGGTTGCACACTGTGACAAGTGCTGTCCCATGTGAGGCAAACCTGCTGCTACAGATCAGCGTGGAGGACCAAACTGCCAAACCTTCAAAGAAACAAGGATGTCTACAAGTCTCATCCCCGTAAGGTAACATAGGCAGCCATGGAATAGTCTGGGAAGCCAATGGCAATGTTAGTGGTTAGGTTTATCAGCCCAGAGGTTTTCTGCTGTCCAGTTGCTAAATGAGCAGGGACAGTTCATTAGATTATTTTTCTTTTGTTTTGCCCAAGCAGGCACTTTTGATGACTGAGCTATCCCGTCAGCCCCATACATTACAATCTTTATAACCTACCTGGAGGTTTAATAGTATAGGCTTTTCTACTTTATAGATGAGAAAAATGCCCACAGACTTAAAAAAAATAAATAAATAAACAATGACAACAACAGAAAACAAACTCAGTCACTCCATAATGCCTGTCAGGGATCTTTTCAGCTCTTTTATTTCTGAGTACGCAATTCAAGTTTGCCTCAAATTCACTAAGCTGGCCTTGAACTCACAGTGATCCTCCTGCCTCAGCCTCCTGTGTGCTGGGATTACAGGCATGCCCCACCATGCCTGGCCTACAAGAGGTCATTTTTATCATAAGCAATGCTGCCTAAACGTAGTTGACATATTCCCAACACTGGAGAAACAGATACTGAGTATAGTGAAGATCAAATTCTCATAGAAAATGGGCAAGATCTGCTTTTCCACCTCTGAACTCACACAAACATTAAGTGGTGGATCTGGTTTGAACCCAGAGCCTGAGGCTCCAGAGTCCTTGGTCTTAATCCTCACAGAGCTGAGTCTCAGAAGCAAGTCTCCCAGTCAGGTCATTGACGTTTCCTGCAGTTCCAGTCTCTCCCAGCAGGTGCCAGCATGTTGGGGTCCATGCAGCTTCCTGAACAGCACAGGGTCAACAATTCCAGAAGGGTCACTCACAGGCACCACAACTGCCAGGCTGGTGGTCATGGTAACTCTGAGGGTCCCAGCAACATCTTATTCACAAACAGACCCAAGCACCCTCACTCCCCACACCTACCACTTAGAATTCCATTCCTGAGCCCAGAAAGCAAGCAGGAGCCACTCCCAGGAAAGGGGCTGGACTGAAATGCAGAGGGAGAAGGGAGAAAACAGCCTCTGGCCCTCTTCCTGCACCCAACTCCTCCCTCAGCCTCCAGGCCTGGCCTGACCCTGCCAAATCCAAGGCATTCTCTCTCCCTGAGTTCAGCTTCAGGTACTGCCTGTGCTCTCATGCTGGAGCCCCAGGGGGGTTGAAGAAGGAAGGCATAATCCACAGGGACAGAGTGACAATACACATGAGGGCTGGTACAAAAATATATGCACACCAAGCTGGGCTTGATGGTGCATGCCTGTAATCCCAGCACTGGGGAGGCTGAGACAGGAGGATCTCCATGAGTTTGAGGCCAGCTTAGGGCTACATAGTGAGTTGAAGGCCATCCTGCCCTATATGATGAGACAGGGCCAGGGAGATAGCCCAGCAGCATAAGTGCCTGTCTTGCAAGTGTAAGTTCCTGGGTTCAATCCCTGGTACAGGAAAAAAACAAAACAAAACAAAACAAAACAAAACAAAACAAAACAAAACAAAACAAAACAACCTTATATGATGAGACAGACCCTATCTTGCTATGTAGCCCAAGCTGGCCTTAAATTCGCAGCAATCCTGTCTCAGTTCCCCAAGTACTGTGTTCACAGGGGTGTACCACCACACTTGGCTAAACAAGATTTCTCTTAAAGTCACTGGCATTTGGGAGTGGGTGGCCTCAGGAAGGCAGAAGATGAGAAGGCAGCCCCGGGATCCCTGGTAGTGTGGCTGTCAGAGGTTCCCGACTCTTCTGCAAGGTGCAGTTACCCAGGATGCTTTGCAAAAGCAGTCCCCAGCACCACCCCTGGACTGCAAAGGTGAATTTCCAGAAGTGTGCATGGACTCATGGACTCCAGCAGCCCAGCAAGGTCTCTCCTGGGGAAGCTTGGTGCATTAGTCAGCTTGGGCAGCTGTGATCAAGTACATGAGCTAATCAGTTGTTGCAGATGAAAGGCTGGCTTTAGCCGGGGGTTTTAGCCCTTGGGTGGCTAGCCTGTGGGCTTGGGGCCCGTGGCAAGGTCACCATCACTGCAGGTAGCATAGGCAGTAAGGGAAGGACAGGAGGGGCAGCCCCAGGGTCACGGGTCCCCCAGTGGCCTCACTTCTTTCTACAAGGTCCCGCCTACTATTGGTCATTTCACCTCCTAATAATGTCACCAATACCCACCAAGCCTTGAACATATACTGGACCTTTGGCAGCCTTTCAAGATCCAAACCATAGCACTTGTGAAACATCAATCCCAACTCCCATCTCTGGGTTCTGGTTACTCAGCTTCCCTTCTGTCCTTCCTTAGCTAGAAAGAAAACCTTACATTTGTTGTGGTAGTAGGACTGAACCCAGGGCCAGCCCACTTTATGTTTTATTTTGAGACAGGGTCTTGCCAAGTCACTGAATTGCTCAGGTGGGGCCTGAAGTTGGCATCTAGACCTCAGCTCCCTGAAGTACTGGGATTGCAGGTATAAGCCACCATCCCAGCTCATAAAAAGTGTTTTTAAAGGCCAGGCTGCCAAGCTTCCAGGAAACTCTAGGAGGATTTTTGGTCTTTTGATTTTGTTTATTTTTTTCTTTGTCATTTTGCTGTATAGTTCAGGCTGACGTGAACTCATTATGTAGCCTAGGCTGGCCTTGAACTCCGGATGATCCTCCTGCCTCAGCCTCCCCAGGGCTGGAATCACATGCATGCGGCCTCATGGCCTGCTATATGCCCATTCGCAAGCCAGGATCTTGGTTTAACACAGAGGTCCCTGTCTAGGCTGATGCATGCAGAGTAATGACAAAGCACTTGAGAACACCAGAAAGCAAACCTGGAGGTCAGACCAGACACACTAAAGATACCACAGCACAGTATGGGGGAGGATGGGCATGATATGGGAGGCACCCTTACGGGGCCCCCAGACCAACAGCCTTCTCAGCATGGGTACTGCCAAGCTGTAAGACACCAGAGCAGGCCATGTGAAAGTGAGACCCAGCGGGCAGAGAAGAGCCTTCTTTGTCAGACTCCTTACTTCAGAACTTTTGTCAAGTTCTTTACTTCACCCCTCCCTCACCCCTCCCTCTCCACTCCTGACCACTCGGCAGCCCTACCCTGTGCCCAGACACCGAGAAACTATGTAACTCCTGCTGCCAGACCTGACTCTTCCTGCACTGCCAACCAAGGAGGAGGGAGGGAGGGAGGAAGGGGGAGGGGCTGCAGCCTCTGCTGCGTTTCAGCAACACAAAGCCTGGACTCAACCCCTGCATCTCTTTCCTCTATGCTGCGTTGCCAGAACTAAAAGAAAACAAAAGCCCAGCCTGGGTGTGGTGGTGCACACCTGCAATCTCAGAATTTAGGAGGCTGAGGCAGGAAGATCATTGTGAGTTTGAGACCATCTTAGGCTACAAAGTGAGTTCAAGGACTGCCTGAGTTGTATAGCAAGACCCTGTATCCAAAAAAAAAAAAAAAAAAATTACTTGGAGAACCTTTATTTTATCTCAGTGTTAACACTACAGTTGTGGTCAGAAGCATAGTGGAAAGCCCAGCCAGCTCTTAGACCCTACCATATCCTCCCTGGGCCTCCTCTGTTATCTCTGCATCTCTGCTCTGGGCAGCTGCCTCAGCAGCCTGGGGTGCCCTTGGGAAGCCACTGGAGATACTGTCCCTACCGGATATACTCCTTAGCCAGTCAAGTCCAGCGCAGACCAAAGGATGCTGGAAGTTGGCAAGTGCACTAAAGCACTAGAAATCCGGATGCACACTGTGCCTGTCTATTTTTATTTACAGTACTTACTCTTTTTTTTTTTTTTTGGTAGAACCGGAGGCTAAACTCAGGCCCTTGCACTTGCCAGACTTACTCTTTGAGGCAGGGTATCTCTGTATTGTTCAGGCTGATCTTGAACTTACTACACACAGTCCTTAGCATGCTTTTAGCCCTCAATACATATGAAATGTTTCTTTTTTTTCTTTTTTCTTTTTTTTTTTGACGGAACCGGGGATCGAACTCAGGCCCTTGCGCTTGCCAGGCAAGGGCTTATTCTACTGAGATATCTCCCCGGCCCCCTTGAACTCACTAGGTAGCCCCAGCTGATCCTGAACTCAGTGATCTTCCTGCCTCAGCCTCCCAAGTGAGATTATGTGCATGTGCCACCACATCTGGAAATTCAGATCTTAAATGTCACCTGAAGGCTAAGTGTAGAAGGCTTAGCTGCCAGCCTGTAGTCTACTGGGAGGGCTGGAAACTTCAGGAGGCAGGACATTTAGGAGGAAGCCAGGCCACTGGGATGTACCTTACAGAGGGCAGTGGCCCCCAGCCGTTCCCTCTCTCTCTCCTCCCTGGCTGTGTACAGTCCCCTCCGTGATGTCCTTTTCACATGCCCAAAAGCAAGAGCCAGCAACCGTGGGACTGAATGCTCTGAACTTGTGACCAAAATAAACCTTGCCTCCTTTTTGATGTTTTTTTCAGTCCTAGGGATAACACTCAGGGTCTCACACATGCTGCCACTGAGCTCCCCCAGATGTTTCCTCTTAAATCAATCAATGTTCAAAGGTTTTCATTCACGGCAGTGGAAGGTGAACATAGGTGGAAGAGGCAATCTCAGGGGATTAGAAAGCATTTCTTCGAATTTATTTTTTTATTTTTTGCAGGACTGGGGATTGAATTCAGGATCTTGCACTTGCCAGGCAAGTGCTTATTCTACTGAGCTATCTCCCCAGCCCATCTCTTTGAATTTAGATTGGGCTTTTTTTGGTTCATTTTGTTTTAATTTAGAGCTAAGACAATGGGGGGTGGTGTGCAAGTAAAGAGTCTTGTTTGGATTAAGTGGCTAGTGCCACCTTTCTGAAGTTACAAACCTTGAGACCCCCATCTCCCCCAAATCCTGAAGGTGAACACTGGCCCAGCTTTTGATCCCCTAGCACTCTGGGTCTTCTCTTCAGAACTCAGCCTCCAGGCAACTGGGCCGGAGGACTGAATCCAAGGAAATGACATGCTCCGGGGTACAGACCTCAGGCGAGTGGGCTCAGAGCCCCGGTGCTGTGGCCAGGACGGTCCTCTCTCTACTGGGAAGCAAAGTAGCACGCTGGTCATGAGCTGGGCTTTGCATCACACAGAAGCGGCACCTGCGCGCAGAGCTCCCTACCTGTCCAATTTCCAGCGAGGGCCTCAGTCTTGCAGTTTCGACTTCTCAGGAATAAATGAGAAATACTAAATGAGCCAGTGCATGTAAAGCACTTAACACAGTGCTCAGCACACCACAATGGCTTCATGAAAACGTTTTCACAGCTGTGATGAAGCCTAAGCGTCATTTCCTCATTGGCAAAGGGCCCTGTCACCTTAGTCCAGTTCTCTGCCATGAGAATAAGGGTTATGGTTCTCTGACTATAATGTGGCATGCACAAATATCCAAATCAGTCTAGCTCACTCTTACTGGACTATTCCTAGGCTTTTGAGACACATGCTAATGTGCTTTGCCTATGCAAAAACAGTCAGATGCTTTTAGAGGCCCCAAAGTGAAATGTAGTTGTAGCTTAAGGCTATCTTAATTTTTTTTTTTTTAATTTTTAAAGTTTTGTTTTGTTTTAGTTTTGAGACAAGGTCTCACTACATAGTTCAGGCTGGTCTTTTCATGGCAGTCCTCCTCCTGAGTCCTGGGATTATAGGCATGCCAATTTTCTTGAATAGACATACTTGCATTGTCACAGCCTTTTGTTTAGAGTTTTGATAATATTGATTTTATTTTTTTATTTTTATTATTTTTTTTGGTAGAACCGGGGATTGAACTCAGGTCCTTGCGCTTGCTAGGATAATATTGATTTTAAATCAGGCATAGTGGTGCATATCTATAATCCCGAAGGGTGAGGCAGGAGAATTGCCGTGAGCTTGAGGCTGGCTCAGGCTATACAATGAGTTCAAAGTTAAGACTGAACTTCATCGTAAGACACTGTCTCACAAAGACAAACAAATAAACAACAACGACAACAAAAAAAAAAAACTCCCAGAAAAACTGCTCTTCCAGATTAAAGATCATAGGCAGACTGGCATGAGGCAGATTGGCATATCCATGTAATTTCAGCTACTCAGGAGACTGAGAGGTAGGAGGAGACTAGCTTGGGCAACTTAGATTGCCCAAGAGATTCTATCTCAAAAAAATAAAAAATAAAAAGGCCCTTGGTCCCATCCCTTGTAGAAAACAATCATATAGGCAACCAGCCACACAAGAGAGAAGGGAAGGAATTGCTTTGCTAACCATAGTATGACCTAGTGTTGAGATCCTCCGTGACCAGAAGCGGCCCGACTTCCAGAGCACTTTGCCCTGCTGTCCTGCTTCCACGGTCAGGGACCTGGCCCTGCCATCAACAGCCTCTAGTACAGAAGACCTCAGCCTCTGGAATGGGCCCACTGGCCCTGGCACTATGACTACCATCTTTGCCTAAACTTGGGATTTGCTAAGCCCTTATCACCCAGAATTCCAAGGCAGGCCTCACATTCCCTGCTGTCTGGTCCAATAAGGCCTACAGTGGTCAAAGTTCAATTCACCTGAAAATTCCACTTTAGGGAAAAATGGAAGTTCTTGAAGTCATGGACTGACAAGATTGGAAGGGAGGCTGGGCCATCTGGCTTCACTTCTATCTATACAGCCTGTGGTTTTCCCCATGCCTCCACAGTAAGAGTTGCTCCTACATATGCTTCAATATATTCCTATGATGGGCCATTATGACTTCCTTAGTTGGATGTCTCTAAGTGCTGGCAACCTTAGAGATGAATACAGAGGCATACTTTAAAAAATCAGCTAGGGATGTATTTGAATGCAAGGGCTTAGGGTTCAATCTCCAGTATTAGAAAACAGAAAAAGAAAAGCTGGAAAGATGTAGAAAGCATCATGCTAGCAAAGCAAGGTAATACACCAGTATAAGCATGCAAATTTCTCTTTTGAAGGGTCAAGAAAATTGTATGAGATGAAAGGAGGATGTGTTTTGCATTTAGGCAAAGGCAGGGGGTATCAATGTTACAAGATGAAAAAAATGTTATAATATGAGAGAGAACTGGCTGAGGAGGATTTGGGTGGTGACATTCACATATGCATTCATCCATTTACTCATTCCTTCATTCATTTATCACTACTAGAGCCTCCACCTTAGGCTGGCTACCACAGAGGAATTGCACAAGTGAAAACTCCTCTCCTGGAGTTCAATCTAGTGGGGAGAGGCCAGAAATGTTTTGTTTCTTAGTGGTAAGTATTAGGATGTTCAGTCATGGCACAGTAAATAGGAGAGGAAGGTTCACCCTGATTCCCAGTGGTGATACTAGGACAGGATGCAGAGGACTGCCACGCGCTCATCAGACAACCTGGTACAGGTTAGGAAGACTTTCCAGGGTGGACTTTCCAGCACATGTGAAGACATGCAGGCAAAGCTGGCCTCTGAAGACCTGGACATCTTCAGGTGCACTCCTAGGGTTTAGGAATAGGAGGACACCGAGACACACCAGGCTGAGCACCTCCTGTTCCCACCTCCAGGGAGTCCTGGGACCACATCTGTTTCCTACCATAGGTGATGACAAGCAGCACAAAGTTGAGGTTTTTGAAGAGTCGGACAATGGAGCTCAAATATGAAGTATCAGAAGACGCCAAGGCGTAGCTGAGGGACTGTGCCCTGCTGGGCGGGTGTTTCGGCTTCTCCTTGAACACTGACAGGAAAGAAAGAGAGGTGACTGAGACATCCTGTGGTCTTCATTTAAAAAATACATTGGAAACATTAAATATTAGAACATGTTAAAAATACGGTAGTGGTTGGGTCTGGGAAAGAAGCAGAAGCTATAGCTTTGGGGTCTGTGGGCCAGTCAGCGCGCAGCTCCAGGCCCCGTCCTGAGGGCACAGGGCTGGGCTGCCTATGCTCGGCACAGGGTCCAGCCCGAGGCAGCTTCACTAGCACAGTCTCAGGGTAAGTGGAAAGGGGCTTCTTCCACAGGAAGACCATGGAGTTCATTCCTAGCTTGGCAAATTTGGGCCAGATATCTGCCTCATGAAGGAGATAAGAATAAGCTGTGCTCCTCCAAGCTGATATTTTGATTCCAAGAGCTAGAGAAGAAATGGAGGAAAAAGGAAGCCACTCCTTTTTATCTCTATTTTGGTGCAAGTGGTATGGTCATTTTAACAGCAGAGTGCCACCCAGTATTCCAGGTTGAAACAGTTTAATTAGCTGTTCAGCTAACTTGGTTCCATGGCCGAGGCTAAGTAAGTGGTGCGTGGCTCTCCCATGCCTCCAGATGGTTCTGGAAAGGGCAGCTGGCTGTCTCCAAGGGAGGATGCTCAGAAATGACGTTTACTCTCTTGAAAGATCAAAGGGGCCTCCACTCGGAAAACACCTCAGGCTTCACTTCAGAGCTACTTCCTCCTCCTCCGCAAAGAGTTCCAGAACTTGAGCCCACTGGAAACCCCTCCCCATTGTCCAGCCCATCCGTCCCCCTTCCATCAGGAAAGAGCAAGGCCAGCTCTGCACCAGGAGCTGGTGTGAGAAACCAAAAGTGTAACCAAGGGCCAAAATGTACAGCAGATGCTGGAAACGGGAGGAAAAAAATGTACAGCAGATACTGGAAATGGGAGGAAAATGTTCACATGGAGGGGAACGAGAAAAAGTGAAGGGGAAAGGAAGGAAGGAAGGGACAAGAAAAGGGAATAGAAGGAAAAAACGGAAGCAAAGCTTGGGTAAATAAGGAGAGGAAGAAGGGTTGAAGGGAGGGAAGGGGAACAGGAAAAAAAGGAAGCTCCAGGATAGATCATGTGTACAAGTACAAATTCCCTCTGATGAGTATGATCATTATGTATATCTAAAATTTACCAATAAAAAATTTTTAAATGCAAAAAATTAAAAGGATTTGGCAGCCATAAAATTGGAGGTCAGATACAATTTTCTATTCTTTACTCAATTAGCTTCTATCTGTGCCTGATAATAAAATGCTGAAATGAAATGTGTTACTTTTGTGTTTTAAACTGTAAATAACTAGGCCCTCACCTGTTCTGCACACAAGAATTTGCAGTTGGCTATGTTGTTATTTTTTCTTGAGACAGGGTCTCATTACATAGTTTAGGCTGGCCTTGAACCCATAGTGATCCTCCTGCCTCAGCCTCCCAAGCCTTGGGATTACAGGTACATGCACCACACCTCGCTGATGGCCACATTACAATGTAAAACTCAAAATCTAGCTGAGGAGGAGGCCATGGCCATATCATTTTTCCCTGCTCACAGTGATAGCTCCCCTGCTTCTAACCTTTCCCGAGCGCCTAGGCCTCTGTCTATGACATTCTGCTCCTTTCAGTCTTGTGTGTGTGTGTGTGTGTGTGTGCGTGCATGCATGCGTGTGTGTATACGTGCATGTGTGCGTGTGTGTTTGAGACAATGTCTTGCTATGTAGCCCATGCTGGCCTCAAACTCACAATGATGTTTCTGCTTCAGCAACTCAAGCGCTGGAATTACAGGTGTATGCCACCACACTTGGCTTCTACCAGTGTTAAAAGGCACTGGGTAGCCCTTTCTTGCCCTGGACCCATAGAGGTAGTGACAGAGTCAGAAAAGTTAGATGAGGTACACAGTTGCAGGACGCTTTGACTCTGCAGGTCAAGCCAGCAGGCAGGAATGAAACCTTTAACACATAAGATGGAATGTCCAGGCAGAGGAAGACACGGGTTAACCTTTAGACAGGTGACTAACTGAGAAGGAAAGCCTCCTCTTTGCTATATTTGAATTTACCCACACCTACATGGCATTACTCAGATGAAAACAGAAAACAGAAAATTCTGTTGATTAGGGGCTGGGGAGATGGCTCAGTGGAATAAGTGCTTCCCTGGCAAGCACAAGGGCCTGAGTTCAATCCCCGGTTCTGGGAAAAAAAAAAAAAAATTCTGTTGATCAAATGTCTCTGTGATTAAATGTATGTCCACACCAACTATTACAGAAATTACCTGAGAATGATGCGATCTACTTGTACAGTGATAAATCCATTGCCATTCCTTATGCTTTTCTATATTTCTAGAATTTTCCACAGTGAGCAGTGTTACGGCTTGTGCTGATCCGTGTGATCCTAGACGGGACTTTTCAGAGGTGGCTGGATCCACAGTGTGTGGTGCTTTGGCAGTAAGTGTGTAGTGCTAGGATTAAAGGTGTGTGGCTGCTAAGCAAGTCCACTGAAGGCTTGGTGTAGCTCCGGCTGTGGACAGTGGCAAGGCCCAGCCTGAGGGAGAGTGCTACTCTGGATCAGGGTGTGTAGTCTGGATATAAGGTAAGGACAGAGCTGTCAACGCTTGCTACTTGCTGCTCGGCTGCTCAGCTGTGTGCTGCTTTCTTCCTGCCACCAACTGTCTCTCCTCTGTGATGCCCCTCTGCCACGCCACCCTGCCTTGGAGCCAGCCAACTGTGAGCTGAAATCTCTACAACTGAGCTACGGTAAACCTCTCCTCCTTTAACTTCGGGTGTTGGGCATTTTGTCTCAGCAATGAGAAAAGTAACTGATGCACGCAGCTATTATAATTCTTTTAAAAATCATCTAACAAATGTAGCCCCTGAGTATTCTCAGTTCAATCTCTGACACTATTTGTGTTTGTAGGTAAATTGCTGTTTCTCTTTGAGAAATTTAGAGTACAGAGTTAGACACACCTGGACTTGAATCTAGTCTGCCACTAGCTAATCTCGAATAAGATTATCTAATCTATCTATCTAATCTTGAATAACTTTCATAACTTGCTTCAAGTCTCATTTTTCTTTGAGAGTGGGACTAATGCAGTAGGTCAGTTGTGGGTCAGGTGTTCTGACCCACACGAGGTCAGGTGCTCTTAGCATAGCTCCCTGATGCTGTGGGCCCTCACGGGGGCTTCATCCAAGAGGCCGGCATGCTACCCATTTATGATGAAGCAGAATTGGAGAATTACTTAATTACAATCAAACCCTTACTGAGCTACTGACAAATGCACAGTACTAACTGGCATGGTACTGGGGAAAAGGTCATAGGCTAAACCACTAGAAGACCCTAGAAGCCTGGCCCCCTCTTTCTGTAGAGGCTTATGGTATTTTAGGGCCATGTTCCTGAGGATCCCACCAAAGGCAACTGCACCTCCCTACCCGCCTCTCAGTCACTGATAACCTTACCAATGATGACTAGGATGAACAGCAAGGTGGCCACACCTCCTACTATGTAGAACATGATGCTGATGTGGTAGGCAAGCTTGTCCTGGTCGTTGATATTGGGTACCAAAACAGGAGGGACCAAGAACCCAATCGCAATTCCAAGCTATGAAAGACAGACACAATCAGTTACCAATGGCCACGAAGTGACAGCACAACTTGAAAAAAATTCCTCATAGGAAACTCAATTCTCAACTTCCAATCTTTTCTGTATCCCAGGGAGAGATTACTTCCCTACTTCCAGGCACCAGCAAAATATCTCTTCTAGCTGAGAATGTGACTTGCACGTACTTCTGACTCACAATCTGTGAAAATAGATTTGAGCTGGTAGTCTCATTGCACGTGGCTCTTCTCTACTGACACGGATGCACAATGATTTCTATGCTCCCACCTCTCCAGACGGTGCAACAACACTGACTGTTTTTTCTTTGCTACTTAAACGCTCAGTTACACTGAATCTCTTAACTCAGAGCTGAGAGACAAGCTGGGAAAAGTTACACATCCTACGATCACAAGAACTTTTAGTTAGAAGCCTAAAATTGTTACAACTGACAAAAATGAAAGCATCAGTACTTTGTGTGAATAATTTTGCAACATTCAAAGCATCAGTAGTGTGAAGTCAAAATGCACAATAGCCACACCCACACACCTCCCCACCCCCAGCTATCACCATCACCACCACCACCAACAACAAATCAGAACATCTTATAACATGACTCAGGTGCTTCAGGTCAGAAACACTTTGATTCAGTAGTAACTGATACCACTTGCAGAAGTCCATCTGCCACCCATGATACAGAGGGAGAAATTAGAAAACAGCTTCCAGCTCCATCTGTGCAGAAACATGAATCAGTCCTTCATCATAAAGTCCCACTCCCCCTCCAGTGCACCAGAGAGGGACAGCTGACAGAGAAGCAATTAACTTTCAGTCTGCACTGTCACACCATTCATGATTTGACTGCCCTGTCTGTCATTTATTGCTCCTTGGGTGGCTACCAGTGGTCCTTGGCATTAATAGGCCGAGTGTGGAGCTCCCTATACAGTGTATAATCAAGAAAGCAAACACATCTGCAAAGTACCTGCTGTGTGAAAAGCGCTCCGCTACCTATTCTAGGAGGTACCAAGATATACAGGTACAAAGCAGGGATTTAGAGTTTGTAATCTAGTACAGGAGGGGAGATTTAAAACCAAAATACAAAATGTAACACAAACGGTCCTATTTGTGGGTTGAAATGAGAGAATGTTGCAGTTGGAACATCTTTTTGTAATCTGTTACCATTTAAAGATAAGAGGACTGGTGAGCAGTGGCTACATGAGGTTAAACTAAGTGCCAGAAGTGATGGAACTTGGGTAGCACAGCCCACAGTTTAGGCACAGGGCAGGAGAGATATCAGACCATCTTGTTTCTCAAGCCAGTGATATGTCTGCTTGCCTGGCACCAACATCCTGAGAAAGGCCCGGATGGGGACAACTGAATGCCCTCGGAGTATCATCTGTTCTTCAGTTACAGAGCTATTGCAAAGTCAAGTCCAGATTCTATTTTTTTTAGGCAAGGTCTTACTATGTAGATAGTTCAGGCTGGCTTTCATTTTACTGGACAGTTTAAGCCAGCCTCAAACTCATAGCATTTCTCCTCCCTCAACCTCCTGAGTGCTAGGATTATAGGCATGTACCACAACTCCAAGCTAAGCCCAGCTGTTGTTATTATTATTATTATTATTATTATTATTATATTTTAGGTCTACAGAGTGTTCAGAGTGTCACTACTAGATCGGACTAGTAGTGATCCACTTGTTTACAGCCTCCCAAGAGCTGGGATTACAGGTGCATGCCACCAGGCTCAATCTCAATTGCCAATCTCAGCATGCCCCGAGGGCGGGGCCGGCACCACAGGCCAGGGATTGAACCCCCGGCCCCTGTGCCTGCTTGCATGTGCTTTAATCCACTGAGCTATTTGCCAGCCCTAAGTTCAGCTTCTTAACTGTTCCCTTTCAACCAACCACAGACAGAGAGGCAACCACAACCTTATTCAAACCTTCAAAGGGCTTTTATGCACTTTGGAGTGGGAGAGCTGGAAGTTAAATAGACTTGGAGGGTCCCATTTGAGTGAGGGATGCTGACATCATCTAAGACTGCGACTCTATCATTTCCAGAGGGAAGCTAAAATCCCAGAGACTTTCCCCAAAGCCTTAATATCCTGCCACTCGGCTCAGTTAATTCCCTGGTGCCAAATACCACACCTGCCATCTCAGGCTGGATTTTCTCCCCTTGCCAAGGCCAAGCACCTGCTGTTCCCATGGCATGGAAGTGTCCCCAGCCACCAGGATGAAGTGGAGGTCCCAGGACCCATGGTAATCTTGGCTAGATGGTGACACTGTCTCACAGGAGCTTTTTGCAAGAAGAAACCTGGCTTTGTAGGCTCTTTTATGCCCAGTATGACAAATCAAAACATAGAAATTAGATTATAAATAGCTACTTCTTTTGTTGTTTGTTTGTTTGTTTTGAGACAAGATTTTGCTATATAGTCAGGCTGGTCTTAAACTCAGTATATAACCCAGTCTGGAACTTGTGGCAATCCTCTTGCCTCATCCTCCTGAGTGCTGGGATTATGGGTATGTGCCACTATGCCTGTTTTTTTTATTATTATTAAAATATTTTCCCTGGTCTGGACATCAGTGTTCACTGAGCATCCACAACTCTATTTCTAGATGCTAGTTTTTAGGTCTGCATGTTGATTGGCTGGTTGGATGGATGGATGAATGAATGGGTGGGTGAGTGGGTGGATGGGTAGATGAGTGGACAGATGGGTGAGAAGGTTCATGAACAGATGAAGCTTGTAGAAAATCTATATAGCTTAGAATATCAAGGGGGCTGGAGAGATGGCTCAGTGGTCTAAAGCACCTACTTGAAACAAGCTTGGCAAAGCACAGGGACCGTGGTTCAATCCCCCAGCACTACGTGCCAGCCAGCCCTGCCCCCAGGTGGGCTGAGCTGGCCACACACAAACACACACACAAAAATAAATAAATTAAATAAATAATTAAAAAAAAAAAAGAATATCACATAGGTGGGCCTATTAGAGTCCAGGATTTTTCCACAAATCACATTTTATCCACAGTGGCAAGAAACACAGTAGGACTGCCGATGATTTCTTGAGCATCTACTAGGCACTGGGCATAAAGTACACTTACCTGGGCAAGGTCTGATAGATATCTCTCAGGTCAAAACAGCCCTGGGCTCTAGCCCACAATACATTCAAAGAGGTGAACAACACTGCCCCTTGAGGGTGGCATGGCATCTTTCCTGTGCCAAAGATAAACCCAGACCTCGGTGAGGAATGTAATGATTCAGTCGCCACTAGCAGCACCCAGGCCTGAGCTACTTATGTGCCTGCACTTCTCATTTTATCAAGCTCAACAAAATAAAAAAGTCATGGACAAAACACACCATTCATAGTCAAGCCAAGTAGCAGTCTTAGCTCTTCAGGAACTTCCTAAAAATTGCTTTTAAGCCAAGTGTGGTGGTGCACTGCTTTTGTTCCAGCACTTGGAAGAATGAGACAGGAGGATCCCCATGAGTTTGAACAGCTGGGCTACATAATGAGTTCAAGGCCAGCCTGAACTACTTAATAAGACCCTACCATTAACAAACAAAACAAAAATAAAAATAAAAATAAAAATAAAAATTGCTTTATAAAGTGTAGCTGGAGTTCGGTGTAATGTCAGAGCCCTGTAATCCTAGCATTTGGGAAGCTGAGGCAGGAGGATCCTTGTAAGTTTGGAGGCCAGCCTGAACTACAAAGAAAGACCATGTCTCTAAATAAAAATAAATGTGGAACTGAGTTGTCTTCATTGTTACCTACCTCATTGCAGCATCTCCCACTGCCATCCCTCAGGTGGGGTGATCCTGAGTACCTGTATTTGCACATACAGGGAAACCTGTCAGCCATCAAGGAGGTCTGGGGGACAAGATCCTCCAAAAAGTATGGATCAGGGTTCTTAATGGGGTCCATGTGGCTCTGTTCCTAGCCATTCCCCAAAGGCCAGTGAACTTTGTGAAGAGGATCACATCTGTTCCCACCTAAAACATGCAGCGACACCCTTCTGCTTTCAAATTAGGCATAAAGACCCTAAATAGTCCACAGGGCTCTGCACATGGGACCTGACTGCTGGTCTGCTCCTGGCCATCAATATGCTAGCACACTGGCTTCCTATTTTCTTTTCTTTTTTTTGGGGGGGGGTGCTTCCTATTTTTCATCCAAAGCTGTCTTTAGTTGCTGTCTTTGGTTGTGTTGTTTTATTTCACTCCTTTTTTTTTTTTTTTTTTGAGACAGGGTCTTGCCATGAATTCCAGGCTGGCTTTGAACTTACCATGTAGCCTGGCTGGCTTGGTTTACAGATGTGTAAAGCACCCTTACAACTGAAGACCACAGGCAGCTTGTAGCTCAGTGGATTAAAGTGCCTGCTTAGGCAGACACAGGGGCCCAGGGTTCAATCTCTGGCCTGCTGTGCTGGTCCAGCCCCCGGGGCATGCTGAGACAGAATGAGACTGGGCATGGTGGTGCACGGCTGTAATTCCAGTGCTTCAGAGGCTGAAAAACAGGGAGGATCACTATGATTCTGAGCTGTGTAGTGAGACTCTGTAGACCCTGTAGTACATACATTTAAAAAAAAAAAAAAAGATCCCCTGCCAGGACCAGAATGTCCTTGCCACCCTGCTTCACCTAGAAATGCAGACATCCTTTGGTAGTGAGCTTAAGTCACAGTTCTCAGCTTTCTCTGATCCCTTACATGAGGCCAGGTCACTGTGAAGTAATTTGTATGATTATTTAATTAACATCCGGCTTTCCAACCAGAATAACTTCACATTTTGATCTGGAACCTGGCACATACTAATACTCGTCATAGATATGTAAAGCTGTCCACAGAATGTCTCTAGTTTTCACAACAACCCCAGCAAGAGGGTTCTAATATCGGTCCAATTTTAATGATGAATGGAACCAAGGAGCAGATAGGTGAAATAATTTTCCCAAGATCACAGAGTTGCAGGTAGCAGAGTCACAGTTTCAACACTCAACAGTTCAAAGTCCAGAGCTTGCTGTAGTCT